TTTATCCGTGTTTTCATTATAAATCTCTGTTACCCGTGGTTTATAATTTCAATGCAAAAAAGTCATGCAGGATGGAATTTAGTACAGAAGGTCTCAGTATGGGAGTGACAGCTGTTCCTTATGTTTACTGCTGTCTACTTCTGCATTTATGAGGGGAGAAACCAAGGCACTGATTTGTTTAGAAAATGTTAAAAGGCCATAGCTTTCTTGAACTGGATGTTACAAGCTAACATGTTTACAGTTGATCCCCGTAACTACCCAGGATGCCAAAGTACTTATATTTACATGGGGAAATTCTGGAATTGGAACTCTGGTGCATTCTATAGTTATGAGGAGTGAAGGGATTTAAAAAAGTATAGTGCTGTACACAGAATTTTGCATCACAACACATTGTTCCTTTGCGCTTTTGTTATGAAATATGGTTGCTAAATACAAGAAAGTGATTGGAAAAAGCTATAAATGGACAACACAGTGAAATGGCAGGAACATGAAGCTCTAGATTCTCAGTTTATGAAAATTGGTGTAGAAAGACCTGCTGGAATAGTGTCTGTTTCCTCTGCCCAATCTGCCTTCTCTTAGGGGAGGAAAAGTTGATAACTGAAAGGAGAAAAAATCCTTGCTTCTTATGTGTTCTCTGATCTTAATGGCATTTTAGAGCCCCTTGTCTCAGGCTCAAGACCTGGGATTTAGATTGTTAAAGATTATTGGGAGGTTGATTTTTGCTGGGGAAGTCTGTTTTTGACTTTTGGCTTGGTTGGGCATTTTCTTCAGCTTGGAAAATGAGAGCTAAAAAAGGGAGCTGTGATCTGCATACGCTTAGATTCTTGCAGAGACCCAGGGAGATGAAAGCACAATTGAAAAGGCCTATTTTAAATGTTTGAGGAATGAGTAATTGCTGGAAAGTGCAGGTTAGTAGAAGAACGAGCATCTAGTGAGCTTAGAATTGCCAGTTTTGGTTGGATGTATTCCTGGAGATTTCATCACATGACATAATCTTTAATTAAAGATTAATCTTTAATTCCTGGAGACACCAGGCCAAAGCTGCGTTACAGTTAAATCCAGTACTTCTGGGAGACATCTGTGACAACAGTCTTTCAGCGGGTGACATTTATGTACATGATGAAGAGACAATAATCTCTTAATGTAGAATTTACAATGCATTTTCTAATGTCATCAGGTTTGTTAGGTGTTTAAAAAAAAAGTTCATCTTCTAATAAAATTTAACTCCTTGTGGTTAATGATTAGATGTCCAATATTCAGAAGACCAGATCCACAGGTTTATGCCAAAACTGATATAGTGCTCAGGGCTGCCATCAGGAGGCAAAGCAGGAAACTGTCTGGTTAGAGATTTGGGGTCTGGATATATAAGATTTCAGACTAGATGATCTAGCGCAGTGATACTCAGATAGAAGCCCGCGACCTCAAGTGGCTCTTTAATGTGTCTCCTGAGGCTCTTTGCAGCACATGATATTAAAATACGGTGTGATTGGTTAATAACTTAGATTGGTTAATAATTAAATCAGGATGTTTTTACTATGTTATTAACCAATTGTAATTGATGATAATACTTGGTCAGTCATTTTGCCTTGAGAATAATATATATGTATATAACTTAATATTTACCCCATCATACTGTTTAAATATGAATAATAGCACTATAATAAATGAAACAATGAATTCACACTACTGTGGCTCTTTTGGCTCCTGAAACACTGAAGTCTGAGTATCGCTGTTCTAGCAGTCCCTTCCGGCCTTAAACTCCATGACTCTGAGCAGTGTTATCATAGAGATCTTTATCTTTCCCTCCCCTGAATCATCCTGGGCCTGAGCAGCAGCTACAATCTGCAGCCATTCAGAAGGAAGAAGAGTTTTTGGATATTGCAGGTGGTGATTGGGGATGGGTAGAACTCACTTCGGTCATGCAATGGTGGAAGAGGCTGAGGGAAAATTCTGTTGCCCATTATGACCCTGAAAGTAGGGAGAGGAAAGAAGGAAGTGCTGAAGGGAGGGATAGGAGGAGAGGAAGCAAAAGAGGAACCTGGTTACCAGGGAGATGGTGAGTTAGGCAGAATGGGAGAGCCAACGAGAATAAAGTGGAGAGGAGCCCAAGAAAAAGTAGTGTGGAGAAGGGGATTATTTATTTGTTTTACAGTAGAGGCTAGGGGTCCTAATCATGGATCAGGAGGGAAAGGGGAATAAACACCAGGAGAGATGAATGAATGGAAAGACTAAAATAGAAAAGAAGAGTAAACTGGCAGGGAAACTGACACTGAAAAGACTGAGGAAAAGAGACCACCAAATAGAGACGAATATGTTTGAAGGAAGAAAATTTGGAGAACAAGGACTGCAAGGCAATGTGGCTTTGTGTGGCTGTCAGGATATACCCACTTGGAGTAGTTTACAGGATCAGTGCCTCAGGTCTGCCAAGTATCATGCATTTTGTGTGGAAGTCATGATTTTGGCAACCCTGTCACATTCCTGCAGCTCAGCTGGATTGTCACGCATCCAGCTGCGAGCATGATGAATTTTCTCCCGAGGGCACTAAATGCAACTGTGGAACTCAACTTCAGGCAGCCTGTCTACCTCCTTTCTGGCTTCTCCACTAGCTGGGTCTGAGCAGAGAAAGAGCAGCAGTGACAGTGGGGACAGAAAGTGTGGAGGCTCAATACCAGTCCCAGACTCTCCAAGTCAGGCCCCAAGGAGACTCTAGCCCCAGGCTCTTTAGACCTCTACATCTCACACTGCCCCTACTGCAGGGCCAGCTTCCTCCAGCACCCACCCACCTACCCCTAGACATCCCCTGACAGCACCCAGCCCTCCATACAACTCAGGAACCCAACACCTCCAGCACTCTCAGACCCAAGCAGCCCAAGACACTCCAGCACCCACCTACCTACTCCAGCAATTCCAAACACCTTCTAGTAGCCCCCAATGTCTGCCCCAGCACCCACACACCTCTCACTGCCTCATCTGTGTCTTACCACCATCACTGGTTGGGGCAAGGTGCACTGACCATAAGCTGAAATTCATGTTTATATGCAAATATGAAAATTATCATTAATTTGCATAAAATGTCACACATACAGCAGCACAAAACTTGGTAGCTCTGGAGCCTAAATGCTAATATCTGGTATGTTATTGAATCTTATGTTTTAAACCCTTCCTTTAAGACCCTTCTTTTTTCCCATAAGGAGCTTTACCAGCAGCTGATAGACTCTGCACACATCATTACATGTTATTTTTGTCTACTCCTTTTCAAATGTCAGTAGCCTCCATTGCTTTTCTGGATTGCCTGTCATAGTCTCCCAGCCACAGTAAATCCTAGCTGCAGCCCTGAAAGTGTTTGAATCCCTTGCTGTCTGGACAGATGCCTTTTCCATCACATGAGATCAATTGGAAAAAAATATCCATTGTTTTTAATTAAATTGGAAATTTCTACTTGCGGTGAGTATTCTGGTGATATATATGTGGCATTATTCATCCATAGTACTTGCAGCTTTTCAGCAATAGAATTGGCAAATAACTTTTAGTGAAGTGCTACAAACATTTTGTCTCTTGAAAACAGCAGGATTCTTCTGTCCTGTCTCAATTTTGTATTTGCATAGAAAAATGTAGTGTTGACAGAATAATTAATAGAATACCAATTAATTAATTGGCAGGAGAGAGATCACTTGATCATTACCTTTTAGGTTCACTCCCTCTGGGGCACCTGGCACTGGCCACTGTTGGTAGACAGGATACTGGGCTGGATGGACCTTTGGTCTGACCCAGTACGGCCATTCTTGTGTTCTTATGCACAGGTCCTTAAAAGAAAAAGCCTGACCTTTCCATCTCTAGAGGATCAGAGGCCCCTGGTCCAGTTTTGCTGTATGGATGAGGAGGATAGTATGCTGTGTCTCTGCCTTTTGCTGCACAGCCCTTTGGGGGATATCTGTACTCTGGGTTGGGGAAAGGTTGGAGGCAGCATTTCTGTGGATCTTGGGAGGCCAGTGGATCTGTGACCATATCATTCCATTGGCCAAAGCCCTTCAGTTCCATCCACGTCCTAGGGTGCTGCAATACGGTCTTAGCAAAGCATTGGGGGAAGATTGCACACTCACTGGACTTCCCCCAAGCACGTTCTTTTTACTCAGTATGTTCGGTGCAGAATTTAATCTAGAGTGATTGAGTTGCAATTTCTGAAAGCACACGGTTTAATCTATTCTGATATTATCTTGTATTTGCTAGGCTCTAATGCTTATCAAAATATTCAGATGTATCACTTCTCCTTTAAAACAACTACTTCCTATAGTTTCTTTGCAAACTAATTAAGTTACATTTGGAATTTTATGATTTGGTTAGCCCCTGATCCTGCAAAGACTCGTATGCATGTACTTACTTTTGCACTGACTTAATTCAGTGGTAATAATACTCACATGCTTAAAGTTGAGCACATGGGGGAGTAGGAGCCTTAGTTTGAATCTCTTGGAGCTGCAATTTTAGATCACTGAATATTGATGTTGTGAAGGCCAACACTATAACAGGGTTAAAAAAAGAACTACATACATTCATGGAGGGTACGTCCAACCAGGATGGACAGGGATGGTGTTCCTAGCCTCTGTTTCCAGAAGCTGGGAATGGGTGACGGGATGGATCATTTGATGATTACCTGTTCTGATCATTTCCTCTGAATGTTGGCCACTGGGCTAGATGGACCTTTGGTCTGACATAGTATGGCCATTCTTATGTTCTTATATATCTCAAATGTGATGAGTATCAATGATTTAGGTGTCTGGTGCCTTATGTAGTCTATTTTTAACATTTCTAAAAAAATAACTAATTATATAATTATGTATACACCTAAAGTTCCTTATGAGGTTATTAAATAGTATTTTAATTAGACTGGCAAAATTGCTTTTAGCTTGTCTTTAAAGTCTCTAGTATTTTATTTCTATTAACAAAACAGTAATCAACATTAAATTCTAAAAGGTAACCAAACTAGGTCATATTTTTATTAACAGGAGACAGATAATGAACCTGCCCTATATAAAGATTTGGACTAAATCTTCTGAGATGCTGGGGATAGAGTTTTAATTAAGGTAATCCTTATTTGCATCGAACAAATGCTATTGCTACTTAGAAAGTTAAGACCTTAGTGATGGAGAATAGTGCATTTCCGCAACAAACCTAATAGAGATTTAATACTTGTATTTGAAGTAGCAATCTGTCATAAATTAAGAGCATTTGCATAGTAAATTTAAAGGATGTTATTCTTTGCAGAGTTTTATATAATTAAGAACACATTAAACATTAAAATTGTATAATTTTTTTAGTGCTAGGAAATGAGCTTTGTTGTTAAACTAATCCTCGTTTTCATCTACACATGACAGAAGAGTCCAGCTTTTACACCGGTGTAATGTATGTGCACTCACTCAGCTTCTTTCCTAAACCTTTGAATGATGGTTTAAGTATTTAAGGACATCTTAGCATTCAGAATGAAACTTTATAGACAATTCCACTGAATTATAAAACAAGTTTTTAAATTGATTTTTATGAAGTTGGCAGAGAAGATATATATATGTGATATATTTTATAGCATAAGTTCTTCTTCGAGTGCTTGTTCATGTCCATTCCAGTCAGGTGTGTGCGCACGTACATGCATGTTGACTGGAAGATTTCCCCCCGGCCAACGTGCATCCATCGGGTCAGCCTTGGCGCCCCCTGGAGTCGCGTCTCCATAGCACCTAATATAGAGCCCTGCCAACCCTCCACCCCTCAGTTCCTTCTTACAGCCAGTGATGGTGGCTGGAACTTCCCTAGCTCTTGCTTAGCAACTTCATCCTTTATCTAGTTGTATATAGTTAGTTTGTTAGAGTTGTTAGTATCTTAGTATACAGTTGTTGGGGGTTCCTCCCCCCACTCCGGCTCCCCGGAACTGTAGTATGCCACGGTCCTCGGGCTTTAAGAACTATGTGGCCTGCGTGAAGCGCATGCCGAAGAGTGACCAGCACTCGTCCTGTTTACAGTGCCTTGGGGAGACCCATCAGAAAGATCGTTGTAAGATCTGCCGCGGTGATCCTCAGGGAGGCAGCTCTATGCTCCCACTCTGACTTAGGCTCAGGGGACACAACCCCCAGTGCCTCATCTTCGATGTGGAGTGCCCTGGCACCATCGTCGAGTTCGGTGCTGAGAAAGGACTCCTCCTGAGATGCTCGGCACCGACATGGCTCCTCGTAGGGCCTGTCCGATAGTAGACACTGTTCCCACTCGCTGGTGCCTCAATAGAAGAAAAAAACAGACAGTCGTTCACCTCTGGCTAAGCCAAGAGAAGTGAGACCCCAGGGAGGCCACTCCTCTGGATCCCCTGCCGGGGCCGTGTCAACTCCTGCCCAAGTGAGGTAGTCGAGTCCGGCCCCACCTGGGTCGCCGGTGCCTACACAATAGCTACAGCTCCCGTCGATACCGGAAGCGTACCAGGCTGCTCGGGACCTCCTCCATCTTACAGCACCGTTCTCGCCGGCCGGGGGGGAGGAACCCCCAACACCAGCAGACCTGCCTCATCCTCCGGTGCAGTCGAAGGTGAAGCTGGCTCTGATGTTGAGGCGCTGCCCCCAACCATGTCCCTTGGCACCTACTCACTTGGACAGAGAGCCTACCTGCTCCCCGAGCTCTCGACGTTTGAGACACCGAGGATTGGATCCTCCGTGGGCTTCTGTGTCAGAGACCTCGGAGTCAGAGTCCGATTCCTATCACTCTGGAAGGAGCAGAAGTCGCAGATCGAGGTCCAGGAGAGAATCCCAGGCGTGGCCTCCTCAGTGGCAGAACCCACCTCAGTGGCCCTCCTGGACCCCCTGGGCCTTTCACCAAGGACAAGGAGGAACCCAGGGTCCCCGCTCTGCGACGTCTTCTGTGGCATCCGCCACTTTCGCTCCCCCATCCGCTGCGCACCTGCCTTTGGCACTTACTGTCCTGACACCTCTGACTCCGGCACCATGCTCGGCTCTGACCTCGGCACCGCCCTTGGCAGTGTGTTCACACCCGTCTCCCATTCTGGCACCATTGTTGACATCAACCCCAATGTCGGCACTGGGCCCTCCACTTCCCTTGGCTCCTATGAGTGTACTGATGCAGCTCCCTCCCATCTTACTGACAATGGCACCAACGTGTACCTCGCTGTCCGCTGCCCCGGCACCGTTGCAGTTACCGCTACCACCAATGCTACCCGAGAGTCTGGTGACCCCTCAGGGGTCGATGGCAGGGAGCTTCCGCTCCCAGTAAATGCTTCCTTCTCTTTGTCACCAGACGAAGCATTGGCGGGGACAGCCATCGCCCCATGCGTTAGAGGACAACAGAGTACTTCAGCAGTTGCTGCATAGGGCTGCCCAGGATTCAGAATGAGCTGGCGGACCACCTCAGCAGCCACGAGTGGTCCTTTCACCTGGATGTTGCAAATTCAGTCTTCCAGAGGTGTGGATTTCAACTTGGTCCTCTCTAGGCTCATGGGGCCACCATTTGAGCCTTTAGCAATGTGTTCCCTGCTTTACCTCTCCTACAAGGTCGTGTTCCTGGTGGCAATAACCTCAGCCAGGAAGGTGTCTGAGTTCAGTGCCCTGACTTCAGACTTGCCCTACACAGTGTTCTTTAAGGACAAGGTTCAGCTCAGGCCCCAGCCTGCTTTCCTCCCAAAGGTTGTCTCGCAGTTCCATATCAATCTGGACATCTTCCTCCCAGTTTTCTACCCAAATCCTCATTCTGGCAACAGGGAGCAGAGACTCCACACTCTGGATGTCCACAGAGCGCTGGCTTTCTACTTGGAGAGAACGAAACCATTCAGGAAGTCGGTCCAGCTCTTCATGGCAGTGGTGGACAGGATGAAAGGTCACCCAGTTTTGGCCCAACACATTTAATCATGGATTGTGTCCTGTATCAGTGAGTGCTACAACCTGGCAGGGGTTCCCGTGCCTCCGATTACTGCACACTCTACCAGAGCACAGGCTTGATGGACAGCGTTCCTGGCTCAAGTTCCCACCCAGGAAATCTGCAGAGCAGCAACGTGTTCTTCCATACACACTTTCGCCATGTACTATGCAATTACCTGGCAGGGCAGAGACTATGTGGCCTTAGGAAGAGCAGAACTCCAATCAGTGGATAGCTCCGACCCCACCTCCTACATTTGGCTTGGGAGTTACCTGATTGGAATGGACATGAACAACCACTCGAAGAAGAAAAAACGGTTACTCACTTCTCATAACTGTTGTTCTTCGAGATATGTTGTTCATGTCCATTCCAATACCCACCCTTCTACTTCTCTGTTGGAGTAGCTGGCAAGAAGGAACTGAGGTGGTGGTGGGTTGGCAGGGCTCTATATTAGGTACCATGGAGGCACGACTTCAGGGGGCGCTCAGGCTGACCCGACGGATGCTGCTGGGGGAAAATCTTCCAGCCAATGTGCACGTGCGCACGCACACCCCTGATTGGAATGGACATGAACAACACATCTCAAAGAACAACAGTTATGAGAAGTGAGTAACTGTTTTTTATTGTGAGTTCTGAGTTTGGAGCACATAAAGGTTCAGATCCTAAATATTCTGAAATTGTGATATAGGCAGAAAGTGCAGTTCTTAATAAAGAACATAAGAATAGAAGAACTGGGTCGGACCAAAGGTCCATCTGGCCCAGTATCCAATCTTCTGACAGTGACCAATGCCAGATGCTTCAGAGGGAATGAACAGAACAGGTTATCATCAAATGATCCATCCCCTGTCACCCATTCCCAGCTTCTGGCAAACAGAGGCTAGGGGTACCATCCCTGCCCATCCTGGCTAATAACTATTGATGGACCTTTTAACCATGCCTCTGTGGGTTGCAACTGAGAATACCGAATTCAGGATAAACTGTTGAGAAATAGGGCAGATATACCCCCAAACTGGTGGTTCTTCTTTGATTGCTTGTTCACTTCCATTCCACATTAGGTGTGCGCATGCCGTGTGCATGAGCATCGGAAACTTTTCCCCTTAGCAGCTCCCGGCGGGCCCCCCGAGTGGTGCCACTGTGCCCTGCATATATACCCCCGCAGGCCCGACCCCCTCCAGTTCCTTCTTACCGACCGTGTAGAAGAGCAGTCCCTTAGCCTTTAGAGTAGCTGTAATCAGTTCATTTACATATAGATTGTGAACACTTAAGTGATTAGGTGCTTGGAGGCCACGTGCTGCAAACCTATGCCAGTTAGCGACCCCCACAACTCGTGTCTACGTTGCCTGGGGGACAGACATCACACTGAAAGGTGTAGGATTTGCAAGGCGATCAAGCCAAGGACAGGGAAAGAAAGAGACGTTCCCCTAAAGCAACTGTTGAGGGAGGCCGCATTGCAGCTGCCGGGCCCGAGCACCCGATGCCAGCTCATGCTTCCTCGGTGCATAGTGCCCCGTAGCCGTCAGGAGACCCGGCACCGGCGAAGCACTGTAAACTGTCAGCCCCGGAGCGCCAGGCTAGGCCCCGGCACCAATTGTCCTCCCCGGTGCGGCCCCTGGCACAGCCTAAAGGAAGGCATGGTCATTCCCTGCACAGGAGGCTGGCACCTCCCATGGCACTGAGCACCAATAAGAGCGGGAAGGCTGTGGTACTGGCTCTGACACAGGTGGTCCCGGCAGCACAAGCCCTACCGAGCCCAGACTTAAGTGAGCTCAGTGTGGACGACAGGCTCGAGGGCATAATGGATCAGCCCTCTACGCCTGGCACCTTTGAGGCCGCAAAGGACCTCATCGAGCTGTCGGCGGTGAGCCCCGTTCTGTATGGGGAGAACCCCCCAGCATCCATGCCTCGGGCGCCGTTGAGGGGTAAGCCGGCAATGGTGTGCCGCTCGAAGACACCGTCCCGGCACCACTCCTGGAGTTGGTCCCGGTCGAGCTCCAATTCCGCAGACTCGCATTTGCCAGCGGCCCAGAAGGAGGTTGCGGCACTGGCAGCAGGTCGACGTGAAGAAACGCCAGAAAGGGCACACCGCTCTCTGGCACCGCCCAGAGACCGGCACCAGGAGAAGTTGAGACTGCCCTCGCCAGAGGACTCCCACAGACGGTCCAGGGAACGGCAGCACCGGTTA